TCCTTCTCTACTGATTTAGGTCTGTGGATGCCCAGGTGTGAGGATTGGGGTCGAGGTTTGGGACTGGGAGGGACTTTAAAGTTGTCGGATGTGCCATTGGATTGTGAGGTGACCGAGGGCTCTGGGATGAAGCTTCCACTATGCCTTGAGCACTCAAACAGAATCGAAGAGTTTGCTAGCTGCAGCGCCAAACGAGATGTAATATAAAGCAAGGCTTCTAAACGGGTTTTTCAAAACGTCGCCAAGCCTGGCAGAAAAATCCGAACCCCCGAAGACCCTCCCCGAGCCTCGGCTTGCTCCGGTAAATGTGCTGCAACTGAGCAGGATTCCAGTTTTGAGGGTCGGCGTGTAAGGATTGCTACTTCCCAAACGAAGAATGTGTTGGTAACTGTGTCGGTTCCTCTCGTGTCTGACAGTCGACGCATCAAGCATGCGTGGTTTCAGCCATGTATAGCGGCAGCTCGCACCCGGTGCCGAAGTCAAGAGTGTGCGGGTATTCTCGGCTGAGCAACAAACAAAACCCTTTTCCACGCACTCAGGCCCATAATACCCCCAAACTGGTGCAGATCTATGGCGGCCTGGGTGCTCAAAAACTGTGGCCCATGGGTTTTTGCTCTGGTCCGAGCGAAGAGAGTAAGACAACGATATGTGAAGACGTATATATGTATATCGGTGGAAAGAATGATGATAATGCTACTGTTCATGATGGGGTGGTGGTCATGATGATGGTGGTTATGATGATGATCATGATGATGATGCTGATGATGGTTTTGATGATTCATGTGGGCTCGTGTATTTAGTCACATCCCTCCGCAACTATGCTCCTTCTTCTCATTAGTTTAGAACTTGCTCTATCATGTTGTGTCTACTCTACAACTGCTCCATAGCCATGCCGATATCATGGCTAGGATCGTCAGCATCATCATCATCACCATCACCACCAACACCATTGTAAACATTGTCATCCTGAGCATCACTTATCATGTCATTCTAGTATTCTAGTACCACTAAGGAGGAATCCACATTAACGTCGCGACAACACCGCGGGATAAACCCTGAAGCCCGGACTGAACCCAAAACAGTACAAACGACAAACCTAAAACGCCTGAAAAGAAGAAATTAAAGTGGCGGGTGCCCGTAGTTTCGGGGTTCTAGTTTCGGATCGGCTGCTGAGGGTTTCGGATCAGAGCATCATAGTTTCGGCGCCCAGTTTCGGCAGAGCAGGAGTCTGGCGCCAGACCGAAACTGACCATGTCCGGGTCCGGAACTGTCCCGGACCATGTTCCGAAACTCCCCCCGAAACTCAGCGCCGAAACTACCCTAAAAACCCTGAAACTCACAACTTCCTCGAAACATTCTACGGCAACAAGGACTGTTCCTCCTCAATTGTAGGCCCCTGCAGCGTAGTAGCACAACAAGCCAACAGTCGGTCCCACTCTAGTGGACCCCTCAACCCTGTTTAAAAAAACCTTATACCTACTCGTATCGTCCGGGCCCCTCTCCCCTGAAGCCCCAACAGAATGTTGGTCTCAAAATGAAGTGCCTGCAGATTATACACGCACGAGCTCGACCCGTTGGAGAATAAAAGCTCCCCAAACCCGTGCGCTTTGTTTCAGGACATAAAGTTGGCTAAGCTTGTGCTTAGGGGTTTCGGCCCATGGTGCAAAGGCGCAGATGCTCCCACCAGCCTGTGGAAGCGCATTGGCTTCCGGAACCTGACAGACGGCTTGGGTTCTGAGTGACCATGCATGGCACATCCCCCATCGCTCGAAACCTGAACTCACGCCGAAACCCCTGAGCGTGCCAGGTGCTACAAAATCTAGAAACTTCCATGGGAGTGGGATAGCGGTCCACATAGATAACTGCATGAAGAGAAAACTCCAGGCTCTCGATCTGAGCCTGTACGGGACAAAGAATCTGCTCCAGCAGAGCACACAAGCAGAGCGAAAAAACGAAACGGAACCTGCGAGGATAGTCACAACCATGCTTACCGTCATAGGGCAGGGGTCTCAAGATTAAGGACCTCAATCAACCAAACCGCAGAAGTAGAACCCATATTCAAAGCACTAATAGCAAAGACCTACGTAACGTCAGACACTCCATAGCGACCCCGCACCAGAAGTGCACCTCCCCGGCAATGCACTTCTCCAAGACCTGGCGCTTTATGGCGGAGGAGTTTCGGATTCCATCTCTGAAGGGTTTAGGGTGGAGCGTAGTTATAGGGACTTCCTTGCGGGCATTATGACATGCAACAAGACATAAGGCCTGACATGCATGATTCAAGGTAGAAGACTGGGGTCGAAATCTTGAACTTCATTTGAAGTCCTGAATCTAAGGCCTCAGGTAGAATCTACGGCGTGAGAGCCCTTGGCCCCTTGATCTGAAAAACAGGAAACCGCAAACCTATGCCCCCGAAGACAAATCCCAAAGCGTTCACCCTGAAGCCTGAACGCTAAACCCGAAAAACCCACCGCAGTCTGCGGATTGGGCCTGTGATGGGTCCATGTCCTCGTTGCTGCTCATTGCCTTGCCAACAGTCTCTGATTCTGGCTTTGAAGTTTAGGGTTTTGGAGTTTCGGGTGTAGGGCCAGTTTACGGTTTACGGTTTTGGAGCTCAGGGTTTAGTTTAGAGTCTAGTGCTGTTAGGAAGACGAGGCTTCCCGTCGTTCCCACGTGCCCTCTCACTCCAGCTCAGGTGTGCTCACGAGATCTTGCCGAGTCTGTCAAGCACGTACAGCCCTGCTTGGAATAAGTTTCAGCTGGGGTTTCGGATGATTTCCGGACTGTAGGAGGGCCAGGATTCTGGATTGCAGGGCTGCTCGCTCAACCTGAAACTTCTCAAGAACGCTTCAGCCAAAACTTGTGAAAGCACGCAAATTGCTCGGACTTTCTCCTCGCAAGACGCCAGCCCGAAACACACTGGAGAGGACAAACATAGCATAGACCCCTATACAGACCATAATAATGCCCTGAAAGAGACAGACCGAAAGACAGACCGACAGACAGACAGGCATATGCATATTATATGTGTGTACATACACATATCCATACATCCATCCATCCGTCCATGCATGCATGCATGTGCATACATATGGATATATATATATATGTATGTATGTATATATGTATCTATCTATCTATCTATCTATGTATCTATCTATGTATGCATATATATATATATGTATATCTATTTGTTTATTTAATTATATATATATATATATATACATATACATATGTCTATTTATTTATCCTTTTCGTTATATATATATACACATGTACATACATATACATCTATATATATATATATATGTACATACATATACATATGCATGTATACATATATATATATATGTACATACATGCATACATACATACATATACATATACATATGTGTATGTGTACGTGTATATAGATATATACATATACACGATGCACCTTTTTTGGTCCCGGCGGGTCTTCGGCCTCTCCTTGGGCCGGCTGCGACCCCGGGCTGCTGGGCCGAGATTTGCAGCTCGTTCGGGAGCCTTTTTTGTGGGGGGTTTAGGGTTCTAGGGTTTAGGGTTTAGGACTTAGGGTTCTAGGGTTTAGGGAGTTTAGGGCTTCAGCGTTTGCAGGTTTAGGGATCAGGGGCTTAGCGCTCAATGATGAAGGGGTGAGGGGTGTGTGATTTCGAGTTTACGGTTTTGGGGCGGGTTTGTTGAACCCTGTCGGCACTCGAAACACAGTCTCAATCATTATTCTCACACTTGTTGCGATGGGTCTGCAATTCTGCTGCAGCTCCTCTCACTCCTACTGCTGCTGCCAGTACTGCTAAGTGCGAAAACACTCATAGTCCCTCATACGAACGTTACCACAAGAATCCTACAACGACACTCCCCGTTCCTTTGTAGCGATGAAACAGCCCGTCTTGAAAAGGCTTAGAGAAGTCAAGCAGTGAGAATGCACTGGAAACCAGGAACCGAGCTTCTTGGGCAAGTTCCCCACGATACAGAGCGACCAAAGGAATGCGCAGGAGGGAGGTTGGAGGGAGAGAGAGAAAGAGAGAGACAGGGAGAGACACAAACACACCCCCGGAAGAAAGCAAGACAGACAAAAGAGACAATTCCACAGGGGGTATCCTCCAGCAACCCCAAAGCCTACCTACAGTCCTAAACCGTAAACACAGAAACCCTAAACTTGCAAACCCCCAATGGAACTCCAACCTGAAAACCCGCCACCCAAAACCGAACGTACCCTCGAAACCCCCCGAAACGTGGTCCTGCTTTTTGCTGCTGAACGACCTTTCGGACTATCATGTTGGACAAGACGGCTAAAAGAGAAAAACGTAACTCCCACAAGCATGTGCAGGCTGCAGATTTGGATGCTGCGATCGAGGGAGTTCGTGGGTTGGAGCTCTGCCAGCACAACCTACTCGTGGTTTGCAGTGTTATGTGAAAACAACATCCTCACACCACTTTTGTTTCCAGAAGTCTATGTGAACCCAACACCGGACAAAGCCAAGCACATGTCTTGGGCGTAGGACCCGAACTAGCACAACAAGTACCTCCTCCGTCTTCCTAGTAGCTTTTGAGCCTTCTGTGAGGTTCGATGCCCGTGTTCCCAAGACCAGATCCGTGTTGAAACAGAAAGATCCAGCGAACTAAAACCTCCCGTGATTTCACGGGTCACGAGATGTGGCGCCCGGGGCACCTGGCACAGTGGAAAGCACAAACATCGACCCAAGTGTCCAGCACCTGTTAGTCAGAAGCGACCCGAGTGTAGCAAACTCCGAACAGCGGCAGGTGTGATGTTTGATGTCAGGCTTCTCACTGAGGATTTTTGGCATGGTGATCGTATTGGCGGCAAGTACTGCTACCAGAACTGAAGAATGGCAAAGGAAGCAGCGCAGACAATGACACAATAGAGGCAAGTACTAACTGTAGACAGACTGTCACACTCAATCATGTCCTGACCTGAACGGAAGTGAGGAGGTCGCAGCATTGGCCCGTCTTCTTTTTTTTTACGCGCTGGGTGTGCCCCATTGGTACACGTTCCGCACGAGTTCTTGCAGGGCTGCGACGTCGATCGGTTGCCCTCGGTCTTTCCCCAAACGGAAGCCTGCCGCGTTCCCAAGACGAGGCTTGTGGGGCTTAAGGCTTCGGTGAAGTACGGTGGGATCCGGGGCTCCTGTCTAACTTCGCAGCTTCTTTGGAGCGAGTCCCAGATTGGTACATCAACTTCGCCTGTCTGGGCATCGCTGATGCATTCGCATCCATGGGCCGCGGCTGCAGCGGAGTACTTGGTGAGCCAGTCCTGCGTCGGACTCAAAACCAACAGCTCCTCAACTGAAGATTTAGGGATTTAGTCAATGCTTTCATGGGCGTAGGGGTTGCACAACAGGCTTCAAGCAGGCTCTTCTTAAACCTTACGGAAGCCGGCTGTGGAATACATCACCTGCAAGCACAAACACTGGTCATACTCGCAAAGTGGTAGATCCCGTCGGCGTCTGATGTTGATGGGGCTATTAAGCATGAGCCTAAACCCTCAACCACTCCTGACCCGAGGCCGAAGCTCAAAGTGTCTTGCCTCAGCCTCACAGACTTGCACCGCCTGTGAGATAGCATAAGCTCAAGAAGATGGGACCGCCCACGGAACCTGTGCCAATCTTCAGGCCCACGGTAACCTAACTGATCTGGCTTTTTGGGTTGGTCCCGATTGCATAGATGATTACTCGCTTCATGGCCCAGTAATGATTCTGGACTTGCAGAGCCCCTCCTGCACGTTGGATGCATTGATACCGCCCGTGAAGCCAATTGGTTGGCCCTGGCATCACGGCAAATGAGAGAGAGAGAGAGAGAGAGGGAGGAGCGAGGGAGGAGCGAGGGAGCGAGGGAGCGAGGGAGCGAGGGAGCGAGGGAGCGAGGGAGCGAGGGAGCGAGGGAGCGAGGGAAGGGAGGCCGATTTCCGCTACTCACGCCAGCTCCTCAGCGTGCGACGCAATGTGCGAAAAGAAGCCCCAAGAAAGGCTAGTTTCCACACTGCTCGAAGCACAAACTCTGGGCGCTAGACTCTAGACTCCAAAAGCCCTAAAATGGCCTTCTTGGGATACTCATGCGGGATCTCGGGCACCGCATCGGGGGCCGTGCCCGAGCCGGCCGAGTTGTCGAAGAAGGCGACCAAGTTTCTTAGGGCTTCAGGGTCGAGGGTGAGGGCTTGGTTTGGGGTTTGGGGCTTAGGATTGAAGGAGTACGGTTTAAGACGTTGCTTGCAGTTTGCGGCTCAGGGTCTGCAAGCGGCGCCAGGTCTGAGGCCTAGGCATTTAGGCTTAGGCCACATAGCATGTCGAGCTTGAAGCTTAGAGCGAATTAGGGCATTCAGGGGTTGCTAGTTCTGCAACATGGTGAAATGCAGAGGGTGGGGCTTCACGACTTCACAGGCTCATGGGACATTGAAAGGCACATTGCCGCTGTTCTTGTTCTCATAAACCACCGACCGGCATGTATCTGAGGTGATAGATTTAGGCTGGGGGTGCGCAAGGAGTTAGATGCGAGCTTGGCAGATGTATGCATTTATTTGCAGTGGAACGAGACATAGGCGTAAGGCTTCTGTGAAACGACATCAACACCTTTACCAAACCCTCATGCTGCCACCCACATCAAATCCGCACAAGGGCTTGGGCCAAGTTGACTTGATCAGGCAGGGCGGTTCCAGGTTTTCGATCTTCGGACGTCGGCTTTTCGTCTAACTTGAAGGTGCAAACATAAAGCAAGTTTGCGGTGTAGCACATTCAGGCTTTAGGGACTCAGGGTTTCGGAGGGTTGGATGCGGGGCCATACTGACAGCCTTGTGCCCGAAATTGCATGCTAGAGGTGTAAGCAGGTTCTCCGAAGAGCGACGGGGCATCGATGCAATAATTCGCATCCTACCTTCAGCACAAGTGTTCCTGCCCGGAAAGACGAAGCAAAACGTTCTGTTTGCAGCCAGTGGGTTCCGCACCGGCTCACCGCGGTTCCGTGCCGCTGAATCCTGCAGGTCATCACATCGAGCTGTGTGTCCAATACAGGACCTACAGTACTCTAGCTAGTCTCACTAAGTCTGAGTAAACCAAGAGGTTCATAGTTACATGACCGGCCAGACGAGCATCTGCTTAGCATGGATTGCACCCTTTCAGACGCTTCAAACGATGCGTTTCATGTTGACGAATGCTGAAGCTTCAACCCAGATCCCGCCATGACTGAAGGAGTTGCAAACTGTGTGGTGACGAGAACTCCTTCTGGAGAAGCTACCCTAAACCTCTCCATGCTGAAAGACACATCCCAATCAATGCGTGCAGGGGCTGTGCCTTTAAAGACTGAAAACCTCGGAGCCACCATTGCCCACAAAACCGCACGCAACGAATCCCAAAGTCTTTGCAAAAGCACCAAACCTTCATGCATAAGGTCACAGCTCATGAAAGTCTTAGCTTTCGTAAACGCTGAACCCTCAATCTAGAACCTTGACCGCTGAGGCTTGGCGAAATCCAAGCCCTTCCAGGATCCTCAAACCAAGAACTTTACCAGGTTTCTGGCACAGCCCTTTTTAGAGTCTGGGCAGTTACGCCCTTGGGATTTCGGATTTCCAACATGTAATGATTTGGGAAATATGGTTTGGATTTAAGCTTCTTGGACTTCCTTGACATCCCATCCCTCCTGGAGGAGCTTCTGTACGAAAGGCCATGAATCCATCGCAGGCGCTGAGGCTGAGGCAGGCCGCTGGAAGACCGGGATCAGGAAAAGGGTCCTGTTGCCAACGGCATGTTGTTTAAGTCTTATCAACACCACTTTCCATAAGAAGAAGACTGTCACTGCTAAGTCTGCTACGTGGCTTTTGCCGTTTCCGATTACCTTCATCATAAGAGTCCACTGCAGCGTAGCTGAAAGGAGCTTGCAAGTGATCTGCACAACACCAAGGCTTCAAAGTCTCTAGAGAATCCTCTGCCTACAATCTAAGGAGTCTACAGCTACTCCGAAGCTTGCAGAGCGCAAAGCTGCACTGAAGCGAGCCTCAGGGTCAAAGCCCCACCTCCCCAACCCTAACCCCGACATGCTCCCTGCCAAGCGGCTCGGGGTATCGCTCTGAAAGCTCCACGAGCTGCTGGGCGCTCTTCCCCCAAAGGTCACCTGGCATGAAGAGCTCCGTCGACAGGCCTCTGGCACTGATGTTCACCTCGTCTTTGCAGGTTTCGGGTTCAGGCTTGCGGGGTTCCTGAATCCCGAGCCCTTCCCTCCTGAGGAGGACTGGGACTCAGGCCTTTCGGGGTTTGGCTTGGAGGTTGGGAGCCTGAGGTTGAGGATCTGCATGCAGGGCTTGAAAAACAAACAGCCATGGAACTCAACAGTTTCAAAAGCAGCAGACCCCAAATCTCTGGCACAGACCCGGCCTGGCCTGGATGTGTCGTGCGTGGTATTGGCTGCAGAGCACATCGACAAGACGCAGGGTCTCCGGCTCTCCTTGAAGCAATGCCTTGCGTTGTAAGGCTTAGGGTTTAGGCTTTTCGGGTTTTGGGCTTGGGGCTTAGGGTTTAGAGTTCAGGGTTTAGGCTTTAGGGTTTGGAGTTGAGTTTTGAGGTGTCCAGGGCCTAGAATTTGTTGCTCAAGGCTTCTCATGCTCGAGAGCTTCGCATCAGGGATCCGGCTCTGGATTGTAATCCGAACAGCCATTGAGCCAGTACATCCACCTTTGTCTCTTCACCAGGAACCTGGAACTAAACCTTAGAACCTGTCGCCACGCGACCTTGTGCATGCCTATAATTGAAAGCTTGCGCGGCCCCTTGTCTAGCAGAACTTGCGTCAGAACATACGGCAACCAGCCTTGTTCAAGGAGCCAAGTCTATTGAGCAAGACCCCGTGATGCATCCTGCAGTCTTGGGAAGATATCGACGGAGGGAACCACGAGGATGAAGCCAAACACTTTCCAACAAGTTCGAAGCTCCAAAGCACCACAGTTCAAAGATGCTCCAGTGTCCTCCGTCCGATTTGTAAGTCGCTGAAAACCAAAAAACAAAATCCCTAAAAAAGAAGAAGAGCCCCAACCTTATCCCACGCACCGGCCTCCATTCACATCCAACATCCTAGACTCCAAACCCGAAACCCTGAAAAAATGCAGCAATATCTACAAAATCGATAAGACCCTTCCGATAGAGGACGCAAGCCGAACAGTTCAAGACTAAAAGCTCATAGAATAACCAGCGTCAAGACCCGTTCAACGAGGTTGAAAAGAATGTATTCTCGAAAACACAGTTTCAAGCAAATGCCAAGAGGGATGTTACAATCAAGACACAGGAAGGCGAACGCACAAGAAACTGTACAAAACGGGTAGAAAAGCAAAGAGGATCCCACGAGTTGCTCGACAAAGGCACACGGGTATCCGGAACGTGAATACAGATACTCTGAAGGCTTGTGCCCTTTGGTCGGAAATTTCGGTTGGTGGGCTCTTCTTATTCTTCTTCTTGGCTTACGCACTTCATCCTCAAAGTTTACCTGCCTTCTCCGCCATTTTTGCTGGTTTACCCCGACTTTTCATATGCCCAACCGTCTCTCGGTGTCTTTGTCTCTCCCTTTCCTAGGCCTCTGATGACCCTTACTGTGGTTTTGACGCAAAGGCCCTCCTGGCTCTGAAACTCCAGATCCGACTGTCAACCTTCAACTGCATATTCCGAAAACCCGAAGCGATAAACGAGCGACCCTCGACTCACGCCTTCTGCTGCCCCAAGCACTGTGACATAGGGACACTCCTTCGTGTTGTTCAGGTGGAATGAGAGCCGCGTGTCGGGTGGCATAGTCTTGATCCTTTTTGTGGGCAGGAGTTTAGCAACACTGCACATGACACCTGGGCTTCGGTGAAAATGACAGGAATGCAGCTATCCGGCCTGGATATCAGCCTGTCCAACCTAGGGTCCTTGGGCTTATCGTCTTTGGATTAGAAGGGGGTTCTCGCATTCGTGGTGCGAGTGCCGGATATGAAGCAGAACTTTCAATCTTCACCACCGAAGCAGCAACAACGGGCAAGCTAGCACAACAACCAGCAGCAGCCGCTAAAGGACAGCAGTACCAGGAACGACATTAATAGGAAAGCGAGCCACGACAACCACAACAACACTATGGCAAGAAGACCAACCACAACAGAAAGAGTGTTCCGACAAAGCCTAGTGTTATGATATGCTATATCTTGCCTTGCGCTTGCTCAACCTTCAATCGCCATCGTCTCGGTGTACCTGCTTGTCTGAAACGGCCATAACCACAAAGACGTGTCAACAAGTCCTGAAAAATACGTCAAATGCAGCGGCAAATCTGGTTCTTTGTCTGTGAGTGGAAATCAAACTTTCGAGTTGACAGACCACTGCTCACAACATTGAGTCGGAGAACCTGTGCATCTGCGCAGGGTCAGCAAACATAAATGCAAATGCATGGCCCGTTCCATCAAAACCCTGCTACACAAGAAGGAACAAGAGCGAATACAACGATCATCCTTTCGATGGTCCCGTCTTGGATCCTGTGACACAGGAACCAGAGTGGAACTCTCCCGCCCCGGTCTTAAGGATCAGGATTGATCAGGCCCGAGATCAGGCACAAAGCCAGAAGTCCCGAACAGCTCAAGTTCGGAATGCTGCATAAAAGAGCCTTCAGCCCCTTTGGCCGAAACTCATCTCATCGATCTCATGCCACGATGGATAGGTTTCGCCATTCGGATATCGCCGGCCCTCAGATGTCGAAGAACAATGGAATTAAGCGTCAGGCTCAAGCATCAGATTCTAGGGGATCAGAATGGACTATTCACCATGAGCGGTCTGGATGGGGACGATACACCTGTCACGAGATTGGATTTGTTCACACCTGGACATCGCATCTACAAGTTTGAGAAGTACATCTCGCTCCCCCGTAACTCTATTTTGACAGCAGCTTCCCCTCGTCAGCACACAAAGGTGGCGACAGGTCGAACGACTTCGGGCACAGACTGCAGGGAAAAAGTCTGGGCGGCCTTCCTAAGCATGAATCCTAAGCATAAGGCCTTGCATCCCGGGACCAAGTCCTAGTTAAATCCTGAAATCCAATGATCCAAAACCCTCTCTAGACTTTGAAGCTGGACCCTCGCCTCCATAGAGCCATCGGGAAGGTAGCCCGACGCTGGCAGCCAGGGATAGCCTTCAGGGTTTAGGCTTGGGGTGTCAGAATTTGGTGTTGTTCTTTGGGTCCGCACGCTTTTGGGGCCTGGGGCCTTAGCCTTCGGGCTTTGACTTGCCAAGGCTCCATTTGTTGCAAGTCTGTGGGACTTCGCAAACTAGGGGGAGTGTCATCGGGAGCCCAGTGTGAGTCCATGAAGAAGCCTTCCTTCCTCCAAGGGCTTTTCAGCCCTTGGTCTGAAGATTCGGATGTTGGGGTTAGAGCCGAAGCTTGAGGAATCTGACTCAGGGACTTGTGGCTTACTATGTGGGCGCCTCTCTTGAGATTGCCTGAATGTAGGCCATGAACGTCAGGGATTTACGGGGTTCGGCCTTTGTCTTGACGATTCGGGCTTGACGCTCGTTGTTTCGGGGACTAGGCTTCAGAGGCTCGTGTGCACATCCAATTTCCTGGTGCAACTATGAAGTGCCTGTACCTGAGCCTGCAATCCTCACTCACATCGCTTGGCAACCCTTCGTTGGAGGACCACTTTATATAAAAAATTGTAGGAACGTTCTCAGGAGGTCCCTTGTTGGAGGTTAGACAGTCTTCCGAAACGTCTCAAAAGACTCGCAAAGTTTCGAAAAGACTGAGCAAAAGAACGAATTTCCTTGAAGTAGCTGTGGAGGCGAAGAAACTGAACATTTTGAACACCTACCCTAGCAACCTTTCTGCCACGGCCTCACCAATTCTGCCACACGCTTCCAAAGAACTTCCCTGGAGTCCTTCCAAAAAAGACGTATGAATGTATAGATCCAAGAACTGCGACAAAGGTCGATAGGCTACCTTGGTGAAGGTTCCATCGGGATTAGAAAGCCAAAACAAGTCGGTAGATTTTGGTTTGTTCTGAACTTTGCAATCTGTGACACGTGCCTAAACGGTGCGCTTAGCGGAAGAAATCGTCTCTGAGACACGGAACGGAACCAAAAGCGGTGCCTTGATAGGCCAGCTGGAATGCGGCGACCGGCACCACCCGGCAGGCCGCCGGCGGGCTGAAAAGCTCCGCGAGGACGTCCTGCTTAGGAATTCAACGGGCTTTTGGGTTGCAGAAATTACCAACCGATCACGACAGATCGTCAAGGCCCGCGGGACAGCCTGCTGAGCCCAAACACAAAAACGGCACCATAAATCCTAAAAACCTCACAGCATTTAGCCGGCCGACATCTGACTAAATTCATAAACCCCCCTCCCCTACATCACCCAAACCCTCGAAAAAGCCACAACAGAAACGGTAACAACAAGGCCAGAACCGAGGCCTATAGACTCCTTAGACCCCCAAAAGAAACCAAGAATTGAACCCGAGACTCCAATGGTTCAAGCCCTACAGGAAGCTTGCACCACCGATCAGAGGCGTCCTTGGGCACCGTGTTGTCCAGACCGCAGATGCCAAATTCCAGGCACTCTGCGGTCGCCATGCCCCCACTTCGACACTACCGTGTTGAGCTTGAGATCCCACGCATGGGCCCCCGCACTACCCGAAGCCTTCAGTGTGAGTTCCAAGATAGGACAAAGACTCTGTAAGGAACATGTTCACGTGCGAGGAAGACTCCACTCTCAACACCGTGGCCGTGACTTGCCAGAGCCACGTGGAAGTTTGGACGCGCAGAGAGACTCGGCGACTTTTGGCGGGCTTGGGCTTTGTGGCTTCAAGAGGCAAAGGATTTGGGAGGAGGAAGAGGAGGCGAGGAGGAGCAGGAGGAGAACGATCGCGACGACCATACTAACCATGATGGCCACTGTCACCGTTGTCTTCACCATGACCATCCTCATCATTTCATGTTCATTTCGCCAAAGAGTGGTGCTGCTGTCATTTTCCTAGTTATCAAAGTTCCCTGCAGCTTTGGCACCCATGAATCCACGTCATCGGAAGCAGAACCTCTCGAAGAGCCTGAAAATCGACAAAATGATTGTGCTCCTCCAAACACGTTGCCTGGATTTAATGTTTAGAAGCAAGCCTATATCCGGCAAAAGAGAAGACCTTAAGCTACCCACCTCACGACTCACCACCAACACTTCTGCAGGGGTTTTGATGTTCCGGGCTTCTGCCGATTCACTAAGGTGTGAAGTTGTGGTTGCAAGGTCTTAGGTGCCTGCAACACGCAGCCTTTTCCATCTTCCTCACTCCAGTCGGATTTTGCGGTTGGGCTAGCGGGGCTTTGGTGAGTTGGAGTGCACAGGTCGTACTTTGAGAAAGGACCTAGTTTCGATCATCAAACGAAGACGATTGGAACATCGAGTGAATGTTTGGCATCTCACCCCGTAAAATATCAACTCTCGAACCCCCACTTTCTTCCGAACTCTGTGCTGCCCGCGAGCCCTTGCAAGACAGCACTTAAAATGCCACCGGATGAAACCCTTCTAAACTGCCACTAACTCGAAGGCTTAGGGGCACCGCCGTTAACCTGTTCAATTATAGGTGTATGATTATATAGACTCCAAAAGGCTAATGGTTGCCTGATCAGCTACTAAGAAAAGATCTTAAGTGGGCTCAAACTAGAACCTAGGGACCAAGGGGAGGGTTTGAGATTCGCTATTCAGATTCGCTACGGGGTTGGATCCCGGACACACATAGGACACTGCAAGGATGAAAAGAAGCTGCCGCAGCAACCCCATCAGCACCAGTGGTTTTTAGATGATCCTGTCCATGCGATTCAACTGGACACGACCTGACTTGTAGTCGGCCAACCACTTTCGCCGGACGACACTCAGGACCTCATCACGGTCACTTCGTGCCCCCCGCAGATTCTCCTCTAACTCGAGCAGGACATCCAGAAATCCGTCATTGGGCCCAGCTTTAGCTCGTTTGTCCTTAACCAAACTCACTGCCTCAAGTAGTGTCATGGCTCGGTGCTCCATCAAGTAGCACACAACGATCGAGGCTGATCTCGATGCGCCATGCTTGCAGTGCACATAGACAGACTCACCTGCATCCAGTGCCTGGCCGATGAACGTCGACGCGTTCCTCAGCAGCGCTGCTGCATGCTGCCTCGCAAAGGGCTCGTCGTCGAAGAGGGGGCAATGCGCAACTCGCAGCTCGCTCTGCTCGTCGGATGGAGGCTGGAAGAGGTACTCCGAAGATGATCCGGCACCTGAACCCGCCCATGTTGACATCCATGCCCTTTCTTGATCTGGTGTCATTCGTGCATCCACACGGACAGTGATCCGTTGTTCACGCAGGAGCCTGCTCTCGTCAGTCAGTACAGACTCCTCTCCCAACCATAGCGCCATGGCTTCTTAACTTTCTTGGTGGACTTTCGATCCAGTTTTGTCGAAGCCTTTCCCCATGCCCTTATGCTCCCTTGGAACAGTATGGCATCTTGCACGTGGAGAAACGTTCTGCCACACAACACCTGCACCCCACGAAACTGAGGTTCATGGCCTACTTGCCGGTCGCACGTGCTACATAACCTTTGCCGCGTCTTCCTTCTACGGCATGGTGAGCAGATGTAGAACTCGTGAGCTAATAACGCACACCTTGCTTGAAAATCAAAACGACCGAGTTGTACCTTTGAAGGAATGTCAAGCAATGACAGATCGCCGCCGTGGCAGTAGGAGCATTGGCACGTGGCAGCAGCAGCAGCAGCAGCAGCAGCAGCAGCAGCAGCAGCAGTGCAATGCAGAGCAAAACAGTGCTCGCAATACTGGGGAACCGGGGAATGTGAAGAAGACACTGTCACAACAAAACGCGATGCTGACAAATGAAGCGAAGTTGCGGCTGGGGTAGGGAACGCTTGCACTGGATCCCATCAAGGTTTCAGGCATGTAAGCTTAACGTCGAGTGCAGCTCGATCATTCTTGGACCCATGGCATCTTGTATCATCTGCGGCGAACTTAAACCGTCCGACTCCCCCGAATCAAATCTGAGGCTTGCTTGCCACGCAAAAGCCAAAATCACGGCGAACCTAGCAGCAACAATTTACAAAGTCTAACAATGTCCCCCTAGACGGTGCTTGCAATCTCAAACTGAAAACCCTGATCCGAAATCCTCGGCCTTGCCCAATTCAGATTCCGACCTTCAAGCCAAACCCTTAAGCGCCTTGGTCACAAGCTTTGCCCAGACATGGCATAACTATCCAGACAGAGTTATTTCTGGCTGAAGGCTTGGAGGCTGAAGTTCGGAACTGTGTGTGAAAGTTCGAATGCCAAGTTTGGGAACTACAAATCTTAGGTTGGGGGGTGTTGGCACTTAACACCGTGTTTTAATCAATCGGCGCCGAGAAACTATTAACAAAAGCTGCTACTGGACATGATTAGCCATCATGAAACAGCACAGGAACGAGTTACTACTGTAAGACTGTAAGTGTCGGTGAAATTTTGCTGTGTTGGGTTGTCAAGCTCATGAAAGAGCACATCACCTTGGAAAATTCAACCGGCATCCGATTATTTCCAGAAACTCTGCAAGGTCGTGGAACTCACACAGGCTGCACAGCACCTTGCGTTGCTCTTGACACAGCAAATTTATAGGGTATAACGGTATAACTTATCTAAGTTCTAAAGGTATGTGTTAGTCACTAGGCAAAAAGCTGACGCCATTGCTTTCGGCAGCTGACGACAAGGGA